TCCCCCGGGGGCCCCGCGGGCCCGGGCCCGCCCCTGCCGGCAGCCGGCTCCGCAGCTCCCCGAGAGATTTCATAGCCCGTTTGCCAAAAGGTTGAACACCGAGGGATCTTTCAAGACCCCTGGGTAATGGCATCTAATTGCTTCACAGGACTGCGTGGTGCTGCTCAGCAATTTTCTGCTCAAGTGGCCGACCCCTCCGAGGGCAATGTGTTGCAACGCGAGATTTGGGGCTTTAGCGTCATTTTGCAAGGTTGCTATAGAGAGGGCATCATGTTTTGTTGCTGTTGGATTAACTTGGCTGAAAATGCCCACGGAGTGTGACAGGAAGCAAAGAGGGCTGCAGATGGGTCGGCTTGGCTAAGCTGATACGTCAAAACCGGTCGAAATAACGTGAGAGCTAAAAATAGTACGCTTTGCTGGGTACACAGCAGGATTCTGCTCTCCTAACCCCACACGAGTCAGGCGAAACGGCTGAAACGAAGCTGTAATTTATGCTAAGTGGCATTCCGACCCTTTTTCACGTTCCCAATGAAATCTTTAGGGTTAAAATGAGCTGATTTGCAGGGTGCAGCGGTGCCAACGCTTCCCTCCTCTTCGATCAAGATGGGCCTGTAAGATCTGATCGGAGCTTGCACTGCAAACCCCCGTGGAAACGCGGCCGTTTGTGCCCCTCGTGCGGGACACGGATGGTCCAATCCTGCCCGCAGGCTCAGCCCATCTGCAGCCCTTGCGTGCATCTCTGCCACAACCAGGCCTGCTCTTGGGAAGATCCCCAAGGAAGGAGAGCTACGGGGCAAGGAATGGGGGAATCTGAGTTTAAAACAGACCGATCTGCTTTCCAGAGCACAGAAAGGAGGTTTTCAGCGTCTTTCCCAGCTGCCAACGGCGCTGAATAAAACTCCACGACACATAATGGAACTTATATTTATTTAACAGTAACATATAGTATATAAATAGGGTAAATACTTTAAAATATACAATATATCACATTCGGACATTCGGTCAAAGAAAGGCAACTCTACGTGTGTAGCTAAAACATTAATCAAAAGAACAATGCACAGAGAAAGAAGCAGATGGTAGAGACACGTCAGGTCTGGAGAACAGGAGCACACGAAGATTACAGCAGTACAAAATGCAACTCCGGGGCTGGCTACAGAGGGCAGGAACCACAGGAGCTTTCACGCGCTGCTTTTTGTGACAAACGCCTGTCCCCAGGAGGGTCTGGATGGGCCGTGCGGATGCTTTCCACACAGCTTTGCCCTCCTCAGATTGTACAAAGCTGGTCGGAGGAGGCGGGGGAAGGAAGAGATGCCAGGATCCCACCGCAACCATGGTCGGGGGAACTCGCTGCACCCATCAGGGACAAACCCTGGAATATAAGACACCGGCATTTCACAGCCTGGTGCCAAGTGCTAGCTGATGCTACGGGATTTCCAGCTTCATGAGCTGCACAGGGTACCATAAACCCCAGGCCACGGCTGCCCCTTCAGATCAGCACCAGCAGACTTCTGCGCCCATCACCCCAAAGAGTATCTAAATAATGCACGCTGATCAGCAAAGGACACCGTAGGCAGAAACTAGGTTTTGATGTTTCACTGAGCACTGCAGGCCACGGTCTGGCTGTGCATCCCATCTGCAAACTCATCTGGGCTACAACCAGACCTGGAGAAGCGAATTCCTGTCAGAGCATGCTGAGTCCTCGTCTACACAGACCTAGCCCGGCCGTGCCTGCGCAGGCTGTGGATCAAACCAGCGACCGACCTGTATCGCTAAATCCCCCACCGGCAAACAAACACCAGGAACGCCCAGTACCGCGCCGGGACAGCCAGCTTCTCACGCTATGCAAAAGCAGCTCTCGAGCCACGTGCCAGCCCTTTGCTCATTAAATACGCTCGCGTCCCTCTCTGTCCACTCCAACTGGAAAAGCAGTGACTGCTCGTGAAGAGGTGGTTTCCACACCAGCCCATCCCCTGCCAGGCAGCAGTAATACCCCCTAAGCTCCACATTGGCCAAATCCTGCTCTTCTCTTCCTTCCGACCCAAGCACACACGCCAGCTGATGCAGCACCTTCCTGGTCTGCTCTCACAGTTATTTCCCTCTTGCTGGGCACAAGCAGGACGAACTTCTCCGGTCGTGGAGCCCACTGTGAACAAAAACTACGGTGCAGTGCTGAGCTGGAGCCCTACAGCTGGAGAAACCTCAGGTGAGCATCCCCATATTGCCTTACCTGGACGTCCCTGGTGTCAGCCCGGCCTCTGCAGCGGCGCTAGCTACGTCAGCCTCCCTCCAAACCTAAATTCTTGCAGCATGACCAAGGTCCTGCAAGGCTTAATGCAATGAAAAGAGGTGCAACGTTGTCTTGCTACGCGTCTCTTGGCATCACAGTTAACCCCTTTAGGGACAGCCAGAGCTGGTAACGTCAGCTTTTCATTTCCTCTAACTTTGTAAGTCTAACTTGAAGTATCTACAGCAAACTGAAGCCACTCACGGGCTGGGCTGATGGGGAAAGCCGACCAAACGCTCCCCCGGCAGCAGGCTGTTGCTAAGAGCCGAGTGGTATGGTCACATACATTCATACCAGTGGCGTAGAAGTGGGTTTGCCGGCCCCAGCTCTCAGCCCGACGGAGGACACGCTACGGTGCTCACCAGTATTTCTCAGCAAGATCAACTGTTCAGCTTGCAAATAATCTTAGCAACCCCCATCTCCCTCCTCCGTTTCTCAAACGGATGCACTGTTCCCACTCAGTTTATGAAACTTCAGGGCAGGATGTTAAACCCTTCCCACAGAGCTTTACCCTTCAGGATCAAAACAGGCTTGGACGTCCACCCTGGAATTAGTTATTGCTGCTGCTTCTCTCCCAGCCCCAGGCAACCCCTACATGCAACTGCTTTGCCCTCCAGTGTCCACATCCAGCACTACACCCTGCAAAAAGGCCCAAAAGCTACTTTCAAATCAAAAGCATGCAGGAAAGCTTTGCGTTCAATCTTTGCCCCGCTAATTACAACTAAAGAGGTACAAAAGGTTTAAAGCCAGATGAGCAGGAGACTAAAGACCCATATTAAAAAACTCTTAATAGAAAGAGCAGTAACTTTTGTAGTATTTATCAACACTATAGCTTCTTCTGAGGACCCAACAGTGCACTACGAGGGATTTTGGCAGATGTTGGCCACGGGCAGGGAGAATCCAGAAAAGCCCCAGCTTGTCTGACCCCACAGGGCAAACTGCTTTCCAGGGACTACACAAACCCCTGTCATTGCCACTCCCACCCCTCTTCCCAGCCTGGGTACTCCTTGCAGGTGTCCTCACTTTGCCCAGCTAAACTCAGCCCAACTGTCATGAAACGCAGACCAAATATTCTCCCTGGACGAAGCAAGATGGAAGCACCTCGATTCTCCCCTCCAATTTTCAAATTAGGGGCTTGGACCCTGTCTAAGTCGACAGAAAATAAACCCCTAATTCAAGCTGGAAGGGACCAGCCTCCACAACTACGTACACCACTGGCGTTAACCAAACGCAACCCTGAACAGGCTCTGTCGTAGCAGTCCCGACTCCTGCCAGGAGCCAGCAACTTTGCCAGCACCGTGCCGAAAACACTTTGTGGACACAGACCCTTCCTCTCTGCAGTCTGCGCTTTGGATCGAACACCTGTATTTGCAGTACAGTGGGCACAAACTTTTGCCCTGTGGTTCCTGTTCAGGGAGACGAAGCAGAGCTCACCAGCAGAGAGAGTCCTATAGAAATGTAAGAGAGAGGTTGGTATCTGGCCATGTATTTACACGCGTTCTTCTCGCTCCCTCAGGGTAAATGAAAGCAGTGGCGGAATCAGAATATGGAGTATGAACTACAAAGTCTTTTCAGGTGTTTTGTTTTCCGTCGATGCTAGCTTGCAGCGTGTACATGTCTCCATATGGGGGTCTGTGCATAAGGTTTATGTCAGCAACTGTTTGAAAACAGCAATGTACTTCTGTATTATCTTTCCCTGTCACTCGTTCCCCAGGTTAAAATAAGGTAAAGATTCTCTCTCCCATGCACAAACTATGGAAAGAAGTAAAATCAGAGTCACCTTGTGTTTGGGGACATTGCATAAGGTGTAAACCGGGGATATTTTCACCATCTGATCACCAAAGAAAAAAAAAAAAGTTTTACAATCTTTAGGGCTCTCATTTTTAAATAATAAAAAAGTATGACAAAATCAAGGAAGCTACTTAGGTAAAACTTGCAACTATTAAGTACGAACTATTTATGACAAGATTTAGTAAGCGAAGCAGGACAGGAGCCTGCACATAAACGAAGCCGGACTGAAACGCAACATCAACTGTGATGAACTCAGCAGCACAATATCTAGAACTCAAGTAACAAACAGGTGATAGACGTGATCCCTGAAACAAAACCAAAGCACCCAGCTGACAGCGCCAGCTGGGTGCTGCAGCCCCAACCAGCAAACTGCAGAGAAAAAAAACCTAGTTGGAAACTGCTCTGCAAATTAGTTAAAATATCCCAGTGTGGGGTTTCCAACCGTTGAGAAATGAGAAAGTGTGGTTCAGTGTTTCTTAAAGGTTATTTGATGGGGGAAAAATGAGCCAAGTTATTTAAAGCGTCGTTCTTAACTGGCAGGAATTACTGAATGAAACTTCAATGTTCTGTAAAACCTCTTTACTTGAGGCGGTTTTGAAGCAATTTGAACCTCCCACATTTCCACAAGCAACTACCAGTTTCTTCACTCCTTGCCCCCGGTCTATTTCTGGTTTAATTGGTTTTAAAAATCGTATTTGCCAAAATATCAGCCATAAGGGAGGGAATGTGAGAGGCACTGCAAAAACCAGCAAGTGAAAATAGATGCAGGTGCCTGGCTGGGCAGAGGAAATATGGCTGGATTAGCACAAGATCCTCTTCCAATTAAGGGAGCCTTGTGCTCATGGTGCAGTCTGCAAGGAGGCTGCACGCAGGCATAAACGTGGCTTTCTGGGAAAATTAACACTGCATTCACAGTTGCCACTGGAGAAAATGATGGTCCCCAGAGTTGCCATCGTGAACGCAGCCTGGCACAACGGCCGGGGGAGCTGCACGGCTTCACCTTCCCTGCTGGCTCCCACGGGCAGCGGTGGTCGTACGGGCGACGCTTTGAGTATTCCCTGCATAAACACACTCACAGGAAAAGTTCAGCTCTGCCCGCACGCGTCGAAGGTTAAGAACAGCCCACGAGGACAGTCGTGCCCCCCTACAGTCCTTCCAAGCCTTACCTCCTTCTCGGCTACAAACCCAAGATTTGCTCATTTGAACCAAAGCTATATAAATATATTATTAAAAAAAAACCACAAATGCAAACATTTACCAAGAAAGGAAGAAAAGTTACAGTGAAATGAGGCCTTGTTATTGTCTTAAATCAGGCAAGCCAGGAATTTCCTCGTGGAGGCTTGTCTGTTTTCAGTCCTGTTCCAATCGCCCAGCTGTCTATGCGTCCTCCAAACTACCTAACATACCCTTGTCAACAAGGTGTGCTTTTAGCGTGTTGAAGATGTGGAGCTGCTGGTCTGGCCGCAAGGTTAAGAACTGCTGGATCAGTTTGCTTGGGTTAGGACCTCTGAAACACAAAAGCATCATTATTAATGAGTCACATTGCTAAACCTCGGTGATCTGAGAACCCAAGCGCAATTTCATCAAAATAACAGGCTTAAAGCGAGAGCTGTGTTGCCCATTCCTTCCCCAGTTCTACACAGAGAGCTTAGCTCCATTTGAGACGTGGAACTGGATCCAAAAGGCACAGGATGCTGAACTGTAAACAAAAAAACCACCCCAAGCCCAATTTGTTTCAAGAGGGTAGTGTGTCTTCCCTTACCAGCAGATGCCCCCCCTCAAAAATCACAGCAACCACATAAGGCCAGTTCAACTCCTTCAGTACATCTTCTATGCACCTACAGGCTTTCTTCTATGCTTGGCTACAGAATACTTCTTAATTCTACAAAATCAGATTTTTCTGCTCGTTCCAAGTCTGGCAACCCTGCTCAAGATTCACAGGGACACAGAAGGGACACGGAGGAGTTTCAGAGGGACTGGAATAACAGACCTGGGGAAATGGGGGTGGTTGTTTCCAGCTCTGCACGACCTCGCTAAGAGATTCCTCCCTTCTTCAAGCCTCCATTGCCTCTCTTTCTCTGTCTTGTCTTTTTAGAGGTTAATCTCATGAGGATAACAACTGTCTCTAATTACAAGCCTGTACGTCACTTGAGTTTGACAGGGCCCCCAAACTTCACCGCAAAGCAATAAATACCTGATGAAGCTTGCGATGTACACGTTAACGAAGGTAGCCATCAGGTACTGACAGTCGAAGCGGTCCATGATCCCTCCATGCCCTGGGATTGTGTTGGCAAAGTCCTGCGCAAAGCAGAAGGGATTGTATAACTAGCAGCCTCCAATGCCCGTTACCTGTACTTGCTTATGTACCTCTATGCATGACACTCGTACCCCTGCTCTAATTCTTCCCCAGAAGGCAAAAGTCAGACTAAGAAGACATTTTGTTTAATGGTTTTAAAAGTTTCTCCTTTAGGAAGACTAGCAGTGCCTGAGGGACAGCAAGGCTTAACTCAGATCTGTCACTCCAAGGTCAAGGAAGGCTAATGTTTATCTCTTGCAATGCTGTCTTGCCTTTCAAGGCTTCTTAACTGAAAACAGACTGTTTATACGTAAAACCAGCCTGCAAGACATCAAGGGAAGCCTCAGTTGCAAAATTTCCTGACTGGGTCTTTCTTCCTCTCCCTCAAGTTCTGCACCAAAGCAGGGCTTAGAAGATCACAGTTGAAATTTTAACGTCTTTCCCCATTCAGTCAAAAAAACCAGATCCTGCTCCAGCATTTTATCTGTGCCTGAAGAAACCTCTCCCTTCCCAAAGCTCACAGCCTGCCACTCCCTGGAGCGCAGGGACCGTTTCATGTGGTAGCAACCATTTTGTCTTTCCTTTCTAAAATGTAAATCACCTTGACCATCCTCACCTTGATTTTGAAGGCCCTCTTAAATCCACTAGCAAAGAAGCCTCCAAACGGCCCAATGAGGGAGGCGAAAGTAGACAGTGCGATGCTGTGGATTTGGAAGGGGTACATCCGGACTGTCTTCTGCAGGGAGAAAAACATGTCAGAGAAGGATTTTCAACAAGAATAGCACTGTCCACTGCTTGCTCCTCTTTCTGTGCTGTCCAGGCTTTAGACCAGTTGGTTTTCAAGTGGGTTAATGTCCCACCAGACTTGGGACGCTTCCTTTGGGCCTTCAACCAACATGGAGCCACCACTACATTCCCCCTTTTTTCTGGACGTACCATCAACCCTTGTCACGTTCCTTCGAAGACCATAAAAATAAAGCCCTGATCTCTTTTCTCGGTGTTCCTATCCCAATAAATAAGATCCAATAAACAGAGAGAGTCCTACCCAGCCCACCACGGACTGCAGCACCAAGGGGATGTTGTACTCCTGTAGCTGGAACAGCTCGGATGGCTCGCAGTCCACTGTGAAGCTGTTGGTGTCATTGTTGAACTCCACCGGACACGTGAAGCACCGGTACCCAGACATCACATAGGACAGCTTCAAGGAGAGAGAAAAAGAGACACGGCAAGAGATGTGGCAGAGCCGGTCTCAAGGGAAAAGGCCAATCGAGGAGACATGGTGAGGAGGGAGCCACACTGCCAGCTTCATTAAGAAGATTACTCTCCTGAGCAGCAGTAATTGGCTAAAGGCAGAGCAAGCATTTTCGTTTAGTAAGTGCATCTGTTCAGCAAGCAGTGATCAGAGCCCCATACGAACAGGCTGAGACCCACTTGGCTGAGAGGATGGAAATAACCAGACACACGAGATCATCATAAAACCAGATAAGAGTATTTCAAGAGTGCTGAATTAGCCACCCAACCCTTGAAAAGACGCACAGCGTTCACCCAACAGCAGCAGGAGAAAGCTTCAAGGACAATTATTGTAATGAACATGTCACGGGGTCTAACAGGGACTAAAAACTTCCTCCACCTGCAGGATCTGCACACAGTGCAAAGCACAGCCATAAACTAGTGCAAATCCTGGCCAGTAAGGAAAATGCGAAGTCTCTGACAAGAGCTGGGAGAGCTTAAAGCTTGACTGCTTTTTTTAGACAAAACCATCACCCTACGAAGGGAAAAGACCAAGGAAATAAGCACCATGACTGCTACTTACCAGCAATCCAAACAAAACGGTGGCAAAAAATCCTCCAATAAAACCCTCCCAGGTCTTCTTTGGGGAGAGCTGCCAGAGAGAGAGGGGGAGAATTACGAACCGTACCTCTCCGCACACCGCTGCACACCTACGCGGCCTTTCTTCGCTCGTGAATTGCTGAGGCAACTAAAAATCGGTGCCAATAACCAACAGGTTAAGTGTTTGGTCAGAACCTGACACCGACATCTCGGTCTGAAGCGGTTCGTTTCACTTCACAGCCCCGAAGGTTGGGACACCAAGTTTAAGCTGGAGGCTTGCTTCAGACGCACAAAAAGTCACAAAACTGGAGACGAGGGAAAGCAGGACTAAGACCCAAAGAAGCCAAAACGCATGTATTGTCCACCAAAGTGTTACAAACCTTGATGAGTGGGGTGCGGCCGAAGAAGAACCCAAACATGTATGCCATGATGTCATTGCAGATCACACAGGAAATTGGGACGATGAACCTAGATGGGAGACGAATCGAACCATGGGCAAGCGCCAAGATCAGACAACCCCAAGACTTAACTAAAGGAGCAGTTGCTTCATAAGATGCTTTGTGCCATCCCATCAGCGTCTTCCCCCTCCCATGCAATGCCAGGAGCAACCGCTTGAAGCTCCTAGGGAAATGGGGGGGTTACTCTAGTGCTCTGGACTGGAAAGCAGGTCAGAACCCAAATGGCCTGTTTTAAGCTCATTTTCTTTTGCCGCACATGAGGTGCTGTTAGACAGTTGCCTCCCCCCACAAAAAGGCTGCATTTTAGCTGTAAGCAGGCTGCTCCCAAGGCACTCTGGGCTGGTTGGGGCACCCAGAGGAACATGCAATCTTAGAGAAGCCAAAATTAGTTCCTGGCCCTGCTGGTTGTGGGGAGACCACTAAAGGGGCTTCCACGCTGGAGTACAGTGGTGGGTTCCCATCTCCTTCCTTTCACAGCGCTGCTTTTACCATTGCGCTGACAGCATTGCCCCAGCTCAAATGCAGGTATAAAGAGCAAGCATCTACAGAGGCCTGACGCCGCTTGAAAGGTCCCTGCACCCCCCAGCAATTTTCAGATGCTGCTTTACAACTCTCTCTACTGCTCAAGTAGCACAAAGCAAGTCCTAAGTCACTGCGGTATCACTCAATCTTTTGCTTTTCTATTCTGACCAGGTTGGTCCCTCACAGGAAGCACCTTCTCCTTGGCCGTTTGTCTTTTTTGAAAGAACAGTTTTAACTCAAAACACGGTCGACCCTTTCAGGCTGCGGAAATCAAAGCAACTCAGAACGCACGGCAACTCACCATATCATTCCTTCAAACAGGTTGTGAATGATGAGGTGCGATTGGGTAACAACAATTAGCAACGTCACATGGGTCCATCCAAACTGGAAGAGAAGACAGCATGCAGTCCAGCCTGCCTAGAGACCCTGCCCGCATCACCGGCAGAAATCAGATGCTGTTAGCTACCTCTCAGGCAGAGAAGGCTCATGCACATGCACCTTCACCATGACAAACACCAAGAGTCACGAAGAGCGGGGAACAGTCACCCCCAGTCATTTCTGGGCATGGTCGTCACCTCAGGCCCAGAGGTGACCTTCGTTGGGAAGACTTCTGCTGGACCAAATGCTCTTTAGCCCGCCCCTATCCCATACATCTCACTCAGCTTTCTGACTGTAAGAAGAGCAGAAGACTGAGAGATATCCAAGCCATCTCCCTGTGTGCTGAATATATTGGAAAGCAAAACTAGTTGTGTCGATGGTCAAACATGAGCAATGCCTCACTGATGTTTGGGAAAAGGGGGACATAGCCAATTAACCCTGACGGCCATCTACCCTCAGTACAAGAACCAAATAGCCTTGTGCTGTCCTCTCAGCTTGCAGAAAGGTTCTTAAGAGCATCCACAAGTGCAGGGAGAAAAGAATACACGTTTGCAGGAAGATTCGGTCAAAGCCACCTTCCTAAAACCCCAGTCTGCTCACAGTAACTTTTCTTCCCATCAGCGTTACAACGCACAACCAGCACAGAAGCATCTACTGACACGTATTCCTCCACACAACATTTTCGAGCAGCCTACACTATTCCTTCTGCCTCCAACTGGGGGCAGCCAGGCCCTGCATTTAGCCTTACCATGTAGAACTGGAGGCGATAGTGTTTCTTCACCAGACTCAAGACAAACATGCAGAAACCTGATGAGAGACAGAAGGAAAGTAAATGGTGGGAATGTATCTTCAACAGTAAGAAGTACTGTTTTTCCATGACACTGCACAGCTCCTTAGGTTCTTTATTTGAGTAAAGCAGCAATGTGGAGTGGAAAAATGCACTACTTCAGAAGTCACAAAATACCTTTGCCTACAAGTAGCGCTTGGACAGATGAAGAATCAAGCCTGGCTGTCCCGTACAGGTTAGGGAGTTTTTTTCTACCCAGCCTCATGTAAGAGATTTGCCACCACTGCTCTACTCATGCAGCCAAATTACGGCATCACTGAAGAGCAGAGATAACTTGCTATGGATACTGCATTGGACACAATACTCACCAGGACAAGGGTGGTTCAAGATTTCTTCCCTCCAGCCCAGCCAAGAAGAAAATGTGGTCTCTACCTGTTAAGTAAAGGGCGAAAGAAATGAAGCGGTGGTATTTGCTGAGAATTCGCAGGGGCTCCTCTCTCTGAACCAGGGTGAAGAAATAATCTGTCACAGTCTCACCATAGAAAAAGTAGTTTACGCAGAGCAGGAAGTACCTGTGCAGGATGGAGATGCTCGTTAGCAGGAACCTCAAAAGGCTTCTGGAGAAACACAGAAGTGACTGATCCCTAAGGGCTTTACACTGTTCTGGTGCACTGCAAACAGGCTATCTTCGAGCGACAGCCAGAACTTTATTTCCCCCAGTTAAGAACTGTCAGCTTCTTTCAAACCAGTGGCTGCATCACTCAGCTCCACTTTGCGATGGATCACACCATCCAGGTTCGGGTTTGGCCTCCTGATGCACAAGGACTTTCTGCCTTTAGGTGGCACTCCTCAACAGGCCTCTGCGAGCTTCTGCATCCTAAAAGCACACACTCTGCGCCTCCTGGAAGTGTTTCTCCTGCCCTCTCCCCAGCCCTTATGTCCCTATGTTCAACCCTGTTTCACAACCACCTAAAAACTCCCATCCCACCCAAGCAACCACGGCCAACTCTAAGTGGTGACGCCTGTCAATGCTGTCCCTTGCACAGATCACGGCGCTTCATTAACACGGCAAACTTTAACAACACGGACTTTTTCAAGACCCTGATCTATCAAGATTTGTGGGGGCTTTTCCTTTACAAGAGCTGCTAACACAGGACACTGCTCAACACGCAGCAATCCCCTCGTCTCTGGTTTGGAGGGAGCCAGATGATCCCCTTGCTGCCTGTCTGCAATGAGATGAAGTTTTAGTGCTGCACACAAGGCTGGGGAGGGGAGCAACCCCCTTACTCACCAGCTGAGCGTCCTGAACCAGGGCAGGTCATATGAGTGGTACACGTTATAGCCAATAGTGATAATCTCATGGAAACATTTGATCTGGACGCACATCACCTGCACAAAAAAGACATCGGGAAGCTGTAATACGTGTTGGTTAAACATCTCTTTCCTCAAGGAGATAAAAAACATGGATGGGCAGAGCAAAAGGTACTTAAGCAGTCGCTATTGGTCTGGCAGGAGCCTCCTGCTCCAACACGGGAAGCTCACCATGCTGCGTTGCCCTCCCCTTTCCTCTGCAGGAGGTTTCTGACAACCCCTTGTATTAGTTTCGATTGCAGCCAAATGCTGACCACCAGGGCAGGCGGTCACAGATTCCTTCCAGGTTTCCTCCATGGAGAGAGAAATCCAGCAAGCTGAATAAGGGCCTCTAGAATACGAGGCTCTGAGCTGCCCACCCCAGCAAAGGTCCCAGCCACCTTCCCCCCTATCGCTGCGACCATCAGGGCATCTCTCTTGAGCACTTACTATCATCATTAAGACCATGGGGCCCAAGTAGATGATGATGAAGAAGAACGTGATCATTGCCAGCGTGAGGATGCCTCTTACCCACCAGTTCTTCCATCTAGGCCACAGAGAAGGGAAGACGTTAGAGAAAGTCAAAACAAAGCAAGCAAGCATGACAGCACTTCTGCTCTCTGCACATCACAGGAAGGAAACCGAGCCCTGGAAACCCCAAGTTTCTTTCAGTGCTGCAGAGAGACCTTGATCCACTGCTGAAGGCCTGGTTGCAGCAACTGCAAGGCTACAGCTCAGCTCGGTCTCCCCTGCTATGAACTTCCCTAACTGCAGAAAGCATCGGCCAGGTGCAGAGCATCTGCAAGGGCACTGAAACGGGACGGGAGAGCGTCTGTTCCTGGTCTGCTACAGGTTTCCTGCACCCTGGACAAGCTGCACGATAAGTTCAAATAAAATTGACCTCCTCTCTCCACAGCTTTGCAAGAAGAACATGGGCCCTGACGTTGTTGTACCCTCGCCACTCTCCAACAGATCCTGCCTTGAGCCTCTCCCATCCTCATAGCACACCCAGGAGAAACACTTTCTCCTGTGGTAGGAGCAAGATGCTTTTCCCCAAAAACAGTCTACAGAAACATTCCTGGTTTGTTCTTAAATCTTAGAATCATAGAATTGTTTAGTTTGGAAAATCCCTTTTAGCTCCCCCAGCCCAACCACTCCCCTACCCCTGCCATCCCACCCCCAAACCCTGGCCCTCAGCACCGCCCCTGCCCGGCTGTTAAATCCCCCCAGGGCTGGGGACTCGACCCCTTCCCTGGGCAGCCCCTTCCAGCCCCTGACAGCCCCAAGGGGAAGGAATTGTTCCCCATGGCCAACCTCACCCTGCCCTGGCACAACTTGAGGCCATCTTGTCCTTATCAGCATGCTTTTCTCATGCGAAGAAGCAGGTCACACTAGCTGTCAGAGCTAAACTCAACCGTCTTCTGCCCCACCCAGGCCTCTTCTCCCCTGCGAAGACCCAGCAGGCAGCGAGGTGGCCCTGCTCTGCCACCGGTCCTCTCCCACGCACAGCAGCCCCGAGCGCTGCGCTCTGCGCTCCCCGCCAGCATCGCCGCCAGCATCACCACCATCTTCTGTTTCCTGTGGCCTCAGGGGCACCTTCCTGCTTGCAGGCCGGGGAGGGAGAGCGCAGCGCTTCCGAGAGCTCCTTCCTCAGCTTCCAGCAGCCACCGCCAGGGCTAGGAAAGCTGCCGTGAGGATGCAGGGGCCCTGGCAGCAGAGGGGAGCGACGCTTGGTGAGTGCTACCTTGAGGACAAGTTGGAGAGAGCTCTGTTCAGGACTTCTGGAGTGTCATCCGATGTCGGCACCGGGGGCGATCCTCCAAATTCGGATTTGCTTTCACTGTCTGACGCTGTCTCTCCATCCAGCTTGTTCTCAGACTCTGACTCCTGCGAGTTAAAGACAGACGATGAGCTTTACTAGACACAATGCTGGCACTCTTTGAAGAAACTCCGACCAGCCCACTGGATGCAACACCCACCACCACTCGGCTTCTGCATAAAGGAGAGAAAGAGGAGAAGAAAATATTGTGGGTATTACATGGGGTTATACCCACGAGCAACAACATCAAGTGGTTTAGGTGACACACGTGGTGGGGTTTACTCTCCACCAGTTTCAGCAGCAGCTGCAGAAAAGGATCTGTTCTCTCTGAACATCTAAAGACGCCTTGCAGTTGATGAATAGGTATCTCCGACTGCTTAAGGGACACGGGCTTGTTAGCAGGAATTTTTACAAGGTCTCCCAATCCCCAGGCAGATCTCCAAGCATGCAACATTGCCCAAATTAGACAGAAGGAAAGGCCTCCAAGTAGACAGGCTCAAGGCTTCCAGACAGACTTTTCAAGTGCTGACTTTACATGCAGGCGCTAAAAATAACACCCATCCCATCCTCAAATAGCTGAAGAGGAAGAGTGTGGCTTATCACCCAGGCCCAGCCATCCTCCCTGCCCACGGAAGAAACCTGATGTACTGGAAAGAAACACCCGTGCTTTCCCCGCCCCGCGTGCTGCTCCAGCACTCAGAGCAACCTCCTGAATTTAGGGGGTTGATAAATGCAGGTGAGGTTACTGAAGGCTCTGCTACAGGCCAGTGGTGGAAAGGGATTTCAAACGGCGTCCCAGCTCCCGGGCAGTCCCATGCCCTCTCCCCAGCAGCAGTTTTTTCCTCTGATCCAGCTCCTCAATAGAGAACGAATCCAAACTTTCACATTTTGCCCCTCGTTTCAGCGTCAGAGCCTCATCCTGCTCCTCAGTCCTTGAAGCGAGGAAGGAAAACACCAATCCCTGGGGAGCGCTCGTGCATAGGGCGAGGCAGAGCCCATGCATTTGGCCTCCGACCATGGGCTATTTTAAAACTCCCAGAAAAGAGAGTGTGTTTACAGGAAAAGCAAGGAGGGAGCCAAGCTGACAAATGCTGGGAGCTCTGCAAACAAAGCCACTTCATCCCTTCGGACTCCCAGGCAGCGCTGCCGCACGCTTGGAGCAGGGGAACCCCCACCAAAACAAGGATTTGCTGGGGCTGGTTTGGTGTAACCAAAGCAAGGAGTATTTGTAGTTCACTGGAGCAGTAAGACTTGAGAAGTTCCCTTATTTAAGGCAGGAAAAGATAATTACTCCCCAAGCAGTGATGCATTGATGGCTGCAGGCCAGGTTTCTAAAACAGACAAGGACAGCTAGGTACCGTCAGGTGGAGGCAGCTAAAAATACGACGGTGTTGTCAGCGATGTCTTCCGGGGACGAGCAAAGCACTGGCCACCGTACCAGTCGCACCCTGAGTCACCTCTTCCTCGCCTTGCTCCGCGCTCGCTTCTTCCCATTCCCATCGACTGGGAAGGAAGAGGGAGACAAAGCCAAACGCCTCTGCCAGCACTCACGTGGGTTTGGAGAGCTGGCAAAGAAACGCAACTTGGCTTTTTCTGCAGGTGTTTTCTAACCGACCTGTAAAATCCACTTGTGCCTCGGACTTCAGACACATTTAGTGCCATTTAGCTGGAAACACGCAAAAGATCAAATCCATAAGGCAGCTGCAAATGGCAGCAGGAAAAAGCCTGGAAATGATAAAACTCCTTGAAGACCATGAATATGGCATCCCATGGCCCAGCACAGGCCAGGGGCCCTGTCCTTGAGCAGGTCTGGGGAAATCAGTGCGCTGTATTTAGCTACCGTCTATGTTTCCCATTGCAATGCTTTCTCCAAGAAAAGGATCCTCTGCAGAATTCCCCCGTGAGCAACCTAAACAACAGGGACAAGCTTCAGCTCCAGCCTGACCACACTCGGTTTCTCCTTCTGGTCTTCCAGATTACGTTTAGGAAATGGGGGCTTTGCTTCTCTTGTTGCGCATTTCTAAAAAAGAAAAATGAATGTGACTGATTCACACCAAACGGGCGGGGAAGTGTTCAGGTACTCGGGGCAACCTCCATCATATAGACTAAAACCAAAAACCTCAGGCAGATTTCTAATGCAGGCCAAGTACCCATCACCTCATGCAAGTGCCAGGCTCGCCAGCCAGGCGATAAAAGCTTGAGGCATCGAAACGAGGGAGCAGATCCCAGCCAACATCCCTGCAGATCCCAGCCAACATCCCCAAAGCACTAAGGTTGCAAAGGCTGAGTGCAAAGCAGGCAAATTATCCCTTGCCTGTAGCCCAGAGGATCAGAAGTTCCGCAAAGTGCCCAGAGACCGAAAGAAATGGAAAGAGCACGGATGCCTTCCTCCCTTCCACTCCTGGCCAAGAACATGAAGGATGAAAGCAACTGCATAGCTCAAGAGACAGGGGAATTTGATGTTGCAACCGAGCTAATCCAACAGCTGCTGGAATGGGCGGTCCTGATCTCTGCCACAGCCCAGCCGATGATTTCTTGCACTGACACCGATGGTGCAGCTAAATTGATGTAAACCACGTCACCAGTTACCCCATCCACCGGTTTCAGTGCGACGCCAAACCAAACCTCATGCTGCAAAGTGTTCTGGTCTCCAGGAGCAGAAGCAAAGCCCCACCGGATCGATCCAACGGTGCACGCATCCCGCCTTTCCCCACTTCATCCTCAGCAGTGGGAATAGGAGCGGTTGTGCAACGGCCACGCAACACCCGCGGCTCCAGCAAGCATTGCCACGGCATTTCCAGAGAGCACAAAGAAGGCAGGCGAGAGGTTTGTCAAGATAAAGGGACGTTGTCAGGGTTCAACATTAAATGTAGGACTCACGCCTGCCACACGGCTTGCTCGCTCGATTTAAGCCTGATGGGAGGTGGATGAAAACGTTTTCCCTGATGGAAGAAATCATCCAAGTGAGGGCTAACACACATTTTAACATCTTCATTTTGAAAACAACCGAGCGGCGTCGGGAATCCGCTCTTCTCCCTGCTTAGATCTCTCTCTGAGACGGAGCGTTGAGATTATATAGGACACTGTGCCAGATATAGGCTATGGAGAGGACTCAGTAATTGACACTATTTTTATACCTTTTATGCAAATTGCAACCACCAGCCTACAAATCACCCGTTTAAGCAGCTGCGCGGCTGCTAAGTAACTTGTTTAAGCCCGAGCGTTGATGAACCCTGGTCTGGGCTAATTAATGCAGCCGTGGCTTTGCCCTGGTAACACCCTCCCGCACGCTTGCACGGCTAGCTGGCTCCTCCTCCAAGCGAGCCAGGCAGATCCTGTCCAGCAAGGATAAGCATCAGACAGCAACGCTTTCCGCAAAGCAGCTTGCAGCAGCAAGCCAAGAGAGCAAACCGGCACAGACGACAGAGAGAGATACTCGACCA